CATGTTATTAATTATAGTGAAATAATAAATTTCAGTTTCTCCGCGTCTATCGAAGTTGATTTGAAAAGAAAAATCTAAATCCAATCTTTTTTTACGTCTGATTTAGAAGAGAAGGGAAACGAAAAACAAAAATCTGACTCGAGACAAGGTTGTTCCACATCTCACTAGTCTCGGAATCAAACGAAGATGAATCCACGCGGCTCAAACCCGGAAATCTAATATTTCACTAGTCTTTTTTGAAACACTGAAATTTCATTTGATCCCACCGGGTGCGTGGGCTGGCGGGACTGCGAATGGTTTCTTCGCAAAGATAGTCGCAGATAATATAAACTATTTGCCAAGTACGCGACGAGAAAATTGCCCCATTGTGAGCGGTGGGAATAAGAGATCGGCCGATAGCGGGGTGGATAAAAGTGCGGCAGACAGTCGCGCTCAGAGAACGGATGGCACGATAGACAACGGCGAACACGGGAAAGATTAGATCCTATTAAATCTTATTCTCCTCTATATCCGCGCGAATCTCTTTTTCCTCGATATTATACCCGCGGGGTATCATCAGCCGGCGACGCGATCGCGTGAGAGAGGTCGCCATTTCGCAGGGGTATTATTCAATGTCGCCTATTACCACGCACAGCACCGCCGAGTGTGTGCCACAACTACCCAATTATCCTTCGATTAAAAAATAATGCGATAGTTGCGGTACACGGCCGTGTCCCGTACGCTCGTTACGCATCACAAAGTATCTTATCTGCATTATCGGACATTTATCGACGTCAGGAAATTAACTTTGGCTTCCATTAACCATGCGGCACTTTCCAATAAAACGGTATTCTGCGCCCGTCGCTATCGCAAAATAAACGCGCGAAACGGCATTAGCCCGCCGACTAAACTTCGAGACGATCAATCTTTTCGCGTTAATCCGATCCTATCAACGCGAGATCTTTTTTCTCATCCACGTAGAAATAATGTGGGTGTGTATGTATGCGTTATTATAGCTGCGTAATATCCGCGAGTTATCGGTTCCTCTGCTCTCTAAAGTTGTTGGAGTGAAATTTCACTCGAGGAGTTGAATGACCAGCGAATCTCGTGTGATTTTTCGCTCGCACAGAGCGAATTCTCCCCTTTGAATCGTCGAGTGAATATTTTCACTCGAAATTGAAGAGTGAATCTAATGCACATTTAGTTTCTCAGTACAGTTTCAACAGAGAGATTCTTTCTCGATGCATTTTAGAACATAGCTCTAATGAGAAAGAATTTTTAGGAATAAATAATAAAAAAAAGTCTTCTCAATTAAACTATCAACCATATTGAGAGGAAAAAATGATTAATCTAACTAAAATTATAATCATTTTTGGTTCCTATCATATTTTTTATAATAAAATAATAGAGAATATTGTAGTAGAAATTACAATACAATTTTAGTATTCTAGTAATAGACTGGCATTATGATGAAAATTGCAATTAGACATAATAAAAGTGATAATGAACATAATAAAAATGACCAAAATTAAATGTAGTAAAAATTATTAAAATTATTTATGGTTATTTTTACTATGTTTTATATTATAATTTTCGTAATAGTGCCAGTCAAATTCCCGAATCACTAAAATTGTATTGTAATTTTTACTACAATAATATTTCCGTGTAGTAACATATACTATATAAGTTTATTATAGGAGAATTTAATAAAAAAAAATTTTTTTTGACCATTATTTATAGTAATTATTCTTATATGTGATAACTCTTTGTAAATTCCTTGTAAATCTCTGAACGTTAAGATTCACGGGAGCATATGATATGTGTTTTGTTTTCGTAAAATAAAATATGGGGGAGCAATACCGATATAATATGGCTATAGAACTCTCGGAAAAAATGTCTAATTGGATTAACCAAATTTTTGATGAAATGTGAACGAGCCAAAAAATTTCGGTTGATGTTGTCAGAATTATGTGCAAGTTAACCAGAAATCTTGAAAACTTGAACAGATGACTTCTGATGACTTCTGAATGACAGAATCCTGATGACTTCAATCAGAATTTCTGATTCCTTCATACTTCACTTGAAATTGAGTTGATCCATAATTACAAATAACAAACACAGGATAAGAAATATTTAGGATAAGAGGTAAAAGGTAAAAAGGAAGGAATAGGATAAGAAATAGGATAAGTAGCGAAAAGGAAAAAAAGAAGTGGGTGTAGAAAAAAGAATGTAGAATAAGGTTAAGGTAAAACCAAGAACTTCCTGGCATTGTAAGCTGAAGTAAAAATTAAGAGGATATCATACAAATAACAAACACTTTTTTGTCAATGAAGCGAGTGTAAAGGTCATCCACGACGTCTCTTTCTTGAATGCGATGTGGTACATTTGGCCGCGCGAAACGTCTGGTGATTAGGGTCAGACTTGAATTCGCGTACACGGTTCGAATCGATGAGACAATCTTGCGCCTCTGGCTCAGCTCCAGAAAACTGTGACAGCGCACGATGAAGGCCGACGGCCATTCCGTCGTTTCTTATTACTCATCGCCCTGTCTCTCGCGAGCCGAGAGCCATGTGGATTTTCGCGAGTAAGGGCGTTTCACCCTTCGCACGCTGCCTATGAACAGCTAAATCAATTAGACGCACAACGTAGGAGGCGTTGATACAATATAAGGGATACGTGACGTTGCCTTCTGGCATTTAGGAGACGAAGAGCGAGGCGTTCGCAGGATTTCTCAACCCCGGCCAACAATCAACAGTAAATTTCTTATAAATTTCTGAACGTTAAGATTCACAGGAGCACGCGACATGTATTTTGTTTTCGTGAAATAAAATATGGGGGAGCAATATCGATGTAATATGGTAATACGATTCTCGGAAAAAAACAGTTGGTTGAATTAACAAAATTTCTGGTGAAACGTGAACGAACCAGAAAATTTTGGTTGAAATACCAGAATTTTGCTCAAACTAATTAGAAATCTTGTTAGCTTGAAGAGGATTCTGGTGACTCCAACCAGAATTTCTGGCTCCTTTATACTTCATCTGAAGTTCGAGTAACGAATCAGCGAGCGAAACTTGCTAGAAAATTTAATCTGGTCTGTACTAGCTAGCTACTAACTTTTGATTCTAGCTAGACAGTTACATTTCTTCTAGGGTCTTTCTAGGATCTTATTGTCAGAAACACAGAAAGTTGGATTTAGCACAGCGTAACTACAGATTTTGTAGTGATGTCTTACTTCCATTGGACAAAATCAGCAAGAACAAAACTTTTTTTCCGTGCATAATAGCGTACATAAAAGAAAAAATTTGGTTGAGTTAACATGACAATGAATAAACCAAACACATTTTGAGCCAAAGTTTGTTCATAACAATCAGAATTTTATTTAATTCAAGCAAAATATTTGGTTCGTTGATTGTCACGTTAATTCAGTTGGACTTTTCTGCTTCGCGCAATGTAATGTTATTTCGTATAAATTAATTTTTTTATTTGAATCATATCGATGCCGATAGGCAGAGAACATGGTGCACGTTCAGCTGAATTTTTGGGGGCGGAAGGAAAACGAATAAAAATTTGTAGCGAACCGAGAACCACTGATCCTAGAAGAGAATATCCTACGAGCCAGGTTTCCTGCAACGCACGGTCAATAAAGCAGCTGTATGCGTCGTCCATGGACGCGTGTAGAGGCATCGCGGAGAGTCTCTCACGTCGTCTGTAACTTTCGTGAACTTGTATAATAGTGCGATGAACTCGCCGCTTTATCTCTCTCCATGGTACGGCGATAAGAATAATTGGACGTGAGACTGCACGAGGGAGAAAGAGAGACAGAGAGAAGAGAGAGAAAGAGAGAGAGAGAAAGGGGGGAAGGGCGGAGGTCTCTGTTGCGTAAAATTGCAGGTCATTCGCGCAGTCCTCCGCCATCGAGCGTATCTACAGTTTTGGGTTACGTAACGTATAAAATCGTCCGGGCGTCTTTTCGTGTAATTTTATGGAACGGATCGTCGAATGGCCGGCGGCCTTCTTTAAATTTTAATACATCTCGTCGGCAGGGTGCAATTAACTCGATTATTTACCTCTTATTTTCTTTGGCTCGTTGTGCAAGCACCGGCCTATCGGATTGAATTAACAGAACATTATTTGAGGGATATATATTGATTTCATCTTTGATAATTATATAATTTGATGTAATTATTCATTTTGTCCATCTAATTCCTTTCGCATCCTATAATTTAAAAAAAAATATCCAAGAGATAAAACGTGGATATTACATTACATACGTATATGTGACATATGTATCTATATTAATATAAAATATTTTTCAAGTGAGGAAATATACATTTTTCTAAAAAAATTCACGGAAAAAGAAAGTTTGATTGGATTAACTAAATTTCTGATGAACAAACCCGAAATCCCGATTAAAGTTACTAAAATTCTGTTCAAGTCAACAAGATTTCTGATTAATTTAACAGAATTCCGATAACTTGAATCAACATTTTCTAGTTCATTCATGATTCATCTGAAATTGTTGATCCGACCAAACGTTTCTTCCATGTTAATTTCTCATGAAAGCAGTCGTGTCTTCTATAACTAAAAGAATTTGAATTCAAGTAAATATGTCACACACACATTATACGAACAAAATAATATAATTTTTTTCCATATAAATTCTTTTCAATTTTACTATATTTTAATACCGCGAATAGATTACTAGTAAGGTCTATCTTGCTAAGTAATTTTCGGTAAATGAAAATTTCGCTAGAAACATAGCAAGTATATTAATAGTACATTTCATTTCCTAAAATATAAGTAGCACATAGGAGCGAATTGCTGCAGAATGCCGATCTATTCTTCTTGGTCACAAAATTCTATAATAATTGTTACTGTAAAATTCTTTCTCCGTACCTACCGAATAAATATTTCTATTTTTTAGATATTTCCTCTCTCACCCTAACGATACAACGTCTAACAATAAAATATCCTGTTTTCACGCGAGTTGCTTAGTGCACGTCTTCCTCTTTCTGTTGCAGATTTCGTAATGCCACCGCCGTATCATCGACTTCGTTAGCGGCGGGCCTTCGCAATGGCCTCGATCTTAGGAGACGGAACAGGCCCCGGTGGGCCCGGGCCCTCCCGATGCCTCTTGCTGTTGCAGAGGTCCTTGGCGATTCAGTTGACCAGAGGCCCGCCACCTCACGTCACGAATACCGGTCAACGAGAGAGTCCGAAGGAACATCCAGCCGACGAGATGTGGATGTACGATAAGGGTTACAATTTGTTTCAGGTGAGTAGACACGTCGCCGCGTTGTCTGGCTTCATCGCCGTTCGACTTTCTTCGCCGTTTTGTCGAATCGCGAGTCGGAACTTCTATACCTTTGATTTTTCGCCGGCAACAAACAACGCGCGCGCACGATTTGACGTTTCCGCGAACAACATCGCGTGCTTCTTTCGCTCGGCAGAGATCGTTGGCGCCGGAAAAGTTCCGCGGAAACGAACGTTGGAAGAAGAACGATGCGCGTCGCGACGACGTCCGTCGCCATCCTCATCGTCGTCGTCATCGTTCGCTTTGTTTCCTCTACTTCACCGACACGCGGGTCCTTTACGGTAAAACGGACGTTGATTGCTCGCACCGTTACGCCACAATGAGACAATGTGAATTACGAGCAATTTCGCAAAAGTAAGCATAATCGAGGAACGGCAGGTTAAACGGCGGAAGCTCGTTCTCGCGGCGGTGCTGCGCCGGCGTCATCCGGCCCTTCGACAGTAAATTTCGCGTTTTACGTCCAGAATTCCTTCCACGGATGGAGCGAACGGCGAAACGAGAGATGCCCGCCGGACGACACCGGCGGCGCCGCGCGCCTCGTAATCCTCCGCGTGCCGTCCTCGACTTATCGCCTCTTCAATGCGTAACATGCAATCGCTGAATATTCAACAGCGGCGCGCCGTCTCGCCTGGAAAATCGTATTAATTCTTCCACCGACACGGCTGCGCTCGGCCGAGAGCGAATTTTATTCTTTAAAGTGTAATCAGTGTATTCTCTCTCTCTCTCTCTTTCTCTCTCCTTCCCTGTCTCTCTTTCTGTCTCTTTCTCTCTTCGCTGAAATAGCTATACTTATGACTGATGGTGCAGTTATATAAGTTATATAAGTTATACACACAGCAGTGCATCCAGTAAAATCTCGGGCAAAGAATAATCAATTAGTAGTAGTAATTGCGACTGTTCCTGTTACTAATGCATTTGGCAAACACAGACAACGTCAATGCACGTAAATCGCATGGAAGCCGTTAATTCCCGAGTAGAAATTGTACCTTGTCAGTGTCTAGCCACGAAATAGTAAATTTGTGCCTAATATCTGGCCGGTAATGTAACGCTCGATTTTTCTTAGTGGCTAGACTTATAAGTTAGCTGATGATTAAATAAACAAGTTACAATTACGAGGTGAGAAACCATAGTAGCTGCTAGATGTAACACACAATTCTGCTTTTCTTCGAGATTTTTATGAAATTGACGTAATTTCAATTTTTATTTGTTACCAAAGTTTAAAATGCTAGCGGTGATATAGTAGCTAGATTATGTATTTTAAAATAGACTGATCATCTACCTTATTATATTTTATATGTAATGGCTGGACAACGGCTAGATCACAAACAAGATTCTGTACTTCAGTGAATAATCAACGAGTAACGAATCAGCGAGCGAAACGAGCTAGAAAATTTAATCTGATCTGTACTAGCTAGCTACTAACTTTTGATTCAGGCCGGACGGTCACATTTCTACTCGGGTCCCATTGCCAGAAACACAGAAAGTTGGATTTAGTACAGCGTATAACTACAGATTTTGTAGTGATATTTTACTTCCACTAGGCAAAATCAAGATATAAGATGGAGCAGTGAAGTGGGAATGTTTCCATTGAAAATCAGTGAACACTCACTGACTACCGGTGGAATATTCCTGTTGTTCTGCTGTTTCAATCAGAAACGTTTTTACCGATGCACCTGAAGAGAATATCTGACACGAACGGTATTGCGTTGAGAGAGCGCGCGATGAAATCGAAATTGAGATAAAAAGGGGGAAATTAATAAGGAATAAAAAGTAGATCGAGAAACAGGCGGGATTTGGCCACTGAAGAGATAAAGTCGGTACGTGACTGTTCGCAATAACGAAGTGCTCTCACTTTTCAACGAGTACGTACTCGACGGAGAAGCACCCTTGCGGAAAAGTCAACGAGCGAGCTCTCGTTTTCAGAGTTAATAAGGAACGTCGATGCGGGTGACAAAGCGAGGGTGCTGAATCGTTGAATATGCAACAATAGCCTGCTTTCGGGCTCTTAAAAGTCGTGACCCACTCATCGAGTGGCCGAAAATCTCGCGGAAGCGATCGTGACGACATGTTCAGTCACGACTCGAAATTTTGATTCTGCTTTCAAATTCAATATTCCATATTAACGTCTACGTAGTTTGTGAAGACTTAACCCTTAACTTGTGTCGTGAAAAACTGTAACGCATCTAACGTCGTGGGTCCGGTGGACCCTAACCAGTTCAAAGGCTAATAAAATAAAAATTCCTAGTGTTTCATAGGTTTTTAGTTTTTATTTTAAATGTTTGAACATATATTCACTCATTTCTAATCAAAATCAACGATAGTAACTGAAAATAATTTTTAAAATAAACGGGGAGCTGCAGCGCATATAACTCTATATATTCGCATTTAAAGATTTTATGTGGGTCCGGTGGACCCACGACATTAGTTAAGGGTTAAAGAAGAACTCGCTGATATCATGTTTACCTGAGTCGAGATTTTAATTTCACATTGACGCTGTAAGTTACGTCAAACTCGAAGAGTCAATGAAGAAGAGTGAATCGAAGAGTGCATCTATTCCTTTGTAAACTCTAAAAATGAAACTTTTCATTTTCAACCGAGCAGTGCTACGACTTTGAAACGTAATCGCGACCGCATTGTGGACGATCCTTAAAAGAGCGCTCCGGTATTTTCTAAGGACGGACTTGCCCCAGGTGTAACGATTCATACACGAAAGACAGCACGGAGAGCCGAGAACACCCTATATATAGAAGTAGGAAATCGCGCTGAGCGTTCGTACGAGAAGAGATACGATCTCGAGGTCGTAGAGTGAATTAGATCGACGTCCTATAATTGTTAAGTCAATTAGACGTTACTGCAGAAACCGTTCGTGTGTTCTGTCGGTTCTGTCGGTATTGTGGTTCCGCGTGGTTTCGCGCCATATACTGACCGCTTCATCGGTGTCTGCGGATAATAATCGATCGACGTAGATACGATCGCTTTTCAAAGGAGCGATCGTCATGAAGGCATCGCCGTGCTGCAGATCGCGTAGATATCATGATACCGCGCGCGCGCGGTTTAAAACCTTGCGTCCGAGCTTTGTATTCAACCAGTTAATTTTATCTAAAGAGCACACGTCAAGGCGGATCTTGCATTTGTTGTTGCCGAGTGCACTTTAATATATAAAGATCGACACGATATATTAATACGAACCTCTCGACGATAATACGAGTGTTACGAGCTAATGAGATGAAGAAATAACAAATTAAGTGAAGATGAGTCGAAAAGAATGAAATAAATAAAATAATAGTGGCAAAATAAAATAATAAGTTTCGAACTCGCGGCAATCTTTGGTATTAGCCGATTAAGATTTTTTTGACCAAAATAATCGGTAGATCAGTAATCAGAAGTAACCAATCTACACGTATACAAGGTCATAAATGATTTCATCCATTGATGAAGAATAAAAAAATTTTCCTTGACTAAGATAATCTCATCGATTTGATGATAATATTTACCAATCGCTCTATAGTTAATCGCATCAGTTTGACTAATAATTAATTTCATCAATCCATAAGATTTGTGATTTTATATATGACGATTGATTGACTTGGATTATTGATCTGCCGATTATTTTAGTTAAAGAAAATTGCCATCGATTAATACCCAACACTGTCTTGCGGCCAGATACATTGACCGTTATTTTTTGTGCGAGTATCAGAGAATATATCGTCTTGTTCAATAGGAGACTTCAAGACGGATGTGTGCCGGAAGTCACACAAAGAATAGCGGACACCTATCTGGCCGCGAGTGTGCCATTTGTATCGCGTCAAAACTACGTCGTTTACGAGTTCAATCCTTAGTTATGGAAGACTTTTGATTCGTTCTGTTACGACGACGGTAGAGAAGCAAGAATGACGAAGGGACGACAATGCCGCGATCAATTGCCGCGAGAATCCCGCCTTACTAAATAACAGGGCATTGTTCGATGCGGCCGTCGATCCGCGAAGTTGTTTACATGATTCTCACCGGAGCCTTTCAGGTGCAGGCTGCATTCGAGAGAAGGCGCTTTACACTTCCTTGACGACTCTCGCGAGCGCACTGCCGGCCTCCGCCGCCGCTGCCGCCGCCGCCGCCGCGCGCTCGTTGTGACGTTTTTAAATCACTGTTATTACGATACACCGATCGCGTTTCGCCTCGGGGATGGTCGACGACGCAGCGATCTGACGGACACTTTCCATCCGCGTGGCGATTTCCGTCACGAGCGCGCCGCGCCGCAAAAAGCACGACGATGGTTCGCCGTCGTGCTGCTACTCGGCGGCGGCTGTAACCGCGGTCTGGTGTACCAGTTTGTTATATTCGCTCTTTTACATCACGTCCACGCGACTCGGCGTTTTGTTACAAAAGTATCCGCAATCGATTAGCGCGCGTGGATACCAATTCTTCTCGCGTAAAAGTACACAGCTTTCATTGTCACGAAATCCGATTCAATCGCGCAATACACGATCGATTTTTCCCAAAATGACTATGGCGTAACTTTTGTATAATAAGATCACTCTAAATTTCTCGGAATCTCACTCAGAATTTCAACGGTAATATTTTCGTTCGCAGTAATCACGAATATACTGTCACTCGAAATCGCAAGAGTGAATGGTTCACTTTGAGCTCAGAGTGGATTTTGATTCAATATGAGCGAATATTTTGATCCTAATTCCTATTTTGATCCATTATGCTATTCGACGACTCGAACAGCACAAATTAGTAAAAGATTTAGGTCCGTATTAATAGTTGTGACCTGAAACTTGTGTGATACTTAGATTTTTATTTAGTATTGAATCCAAGTTTATCGAATGAATTGTAATATATGTGACATTTACATTTACATTTGTAATCGCACGATTCAACTGAAAAAAAATTTTCATATAATTCCAAATTCAAATCTAAAGATCTTGCTTGAAACAAATTTCAAGCAATGACTATATTAA